ACAGGGCTGATTTTTTTTTTGTGCCAAAGAATATATTTGCCCTAAAGAATAATTTCTTTTCAGCTGGATTAGACGCCATTTTCATTTTCATTCCGAGAACTTTTGTTAGAACCCTCATATATATTCTCCATATGCAAGGGGTCGAGTCACGCGAATTTGTGCCAAAATTACAGGAGGACCGCGGGGAAGTCCAACTCCGTTATGCTCTCAATAATATGCCCGTCGTCTCGTGACTAATTTAATTGGTTCTATACTGCTTATACTGGACCAGCACGCGGACTACGAAAAGTGGAAAAGTGACGACGGGAAAATCGAACAGGCGACATCTTGTGTGCTAAACTTGGCCCCGCCATTTTTTTTTCTCGTTCTTCTCGACGTAATACCGCCGTGCAATTTGCACACGTGCTCAAGTAAGCGTGGAATCATCAGCTGTAAAAATCCTTTCCTCGTTTATTCGGCAAAACTTATCGCGGGAAATTGCAAGTCATCTCGCTCAACTACTTTCGTCTACTTTATACAACGCGCAGAAATTGATTGATATAAATCGATCTGCACGGCGAAAGTTGAGGAAATTGTTTTCTGGAAAAATACAAAATATAATCAGCTGGGGCGCAACAACAAAAAAAGAAGAAGAAAAAACAATCCTGTTTGTATACAGGGAACAAGTTGCAGGATTTGAAAAGAAAAGAAAAATGCAGAGAATAACAAGTCCAAGTGCGAATTTTTCCGTCGGTTCGGCAATATATAATTGAGCCGAAATCTGCTCGAGTTTTCGGGCAAGCAAAACTAAATAAAAACGCTGACATGGTGTTTCGCAATATTTCCGTCATTGCGCGTGTCATTCATTTATTCGATTTACTTTTTGCTGATGCAATATAGCTGGGTGATATCGGTTTTTCCTTCTCCCCTCGTCGGTGACAAGCGGAAGATGGTCATTAGTGATGGAAAGTCTCATCGGAATCCGGGCATAAAAACCCAGCAGACAATTGAGTTGTTCACCCATTCCTCATCCCAGCTTCAGTCGGTTGTTCGAGTGCTGACGAAAAATCACCTATATTTCGATTCCAATGAGCTGCTACTGGGGCCTTGAAAGAGTTTAAAAAAAAAATCCATCGAACTGTACAGCTCGCTAAAAAAATAATTGCAAGAATCCGTTTGGTGAAGAATAAAGGAATCATCCAGCAAGTGTTTGCTTTTTGGCGATATTTCCTAAAATAACACGAGTGCATCATTTTTCTAAGCTTCTATATAGATTCACAGAGAGTAACTACGTAGGTTCAGACATTAGTGTCCAGTGCACGAAGTTTGTCTCTGCATCCGTCTATGTATATAGAAACATCAATAGACAAGTTTAAAAAATACATATTCAACTTGCATTTTGGTGTGCAAAAGAGTGTGAAGCATGAGTTGAATCGCCCGTATACAATACTTTGGACAATACTCCTGAAACGCACTTATGTAAAATTTAAAAATCGTGGCAAACTCAGCAGCACAAAAGGCAAATGAGATCGCTTAATAAACAGCAATAATTACAAAAGACCACGAAGGGAAATACCCCCCAATTACTCTTATGCGCCAATTTACTGCATCATTCCTATTGAATAATTTCCTGTTTCCTGAGGCACATGCACCCGAGAAACTTTAATTTAATTGAGTCGATCGATGAGAATTTTTGTGCATCTTTTCAATTTTATTTTAGATACTGTATACGCATTTTGCTCAATGATTCACATGTCCCTCAACAGCCTGAGGTAACATGAAATTACTGCACTGTTGTGTAGTATAGGAAATAATGAGATGACGAGCGTGGATAATCCTATGTAGTTGGTGGAAGAAACAGATTGGATTGTTTGTGTTTGTGTGTGTGTGTGTGTGTGTGTTGCTCGAAGCATAATGATATGTCGACATTGTCTCTCTCTCTCTATCTCGTGGTTCCGGCAGATGATTTTAGTGCTCATCATCAGCAGCCTGGTTCTGGCTGCTGGCTGCGCAAACAGCAGCGCAGTAGTGATGGATCAGAATGGCAAAGATGCGCTAGTGATGCAGCAGCAGCAGCGGAATTTCAGCAGCAGGCCTGATGCTGACGATGCAACCCGCCTAATTATTGCTCCGGGTGCTGCGCAACAAGTACGGAAACCCGTATCTGATGGGGTTCTGCTGCTCGTCAACAACCAGCCTGCAAAGGCCCTGTGAGTGTTGTTGTTGATCATGACAATTTATTGTGCGTGAGAGAAAGCATTTTTTACTGCACTTGCTTAATTCAGTAGCTTATTTATGTTCCGAAACTTTGAGATTTGTGTTACTATACCATCAGCCAGAAATAGTGCCTGCTGAATTTGAATTGCCTTTGTCCATGAGAAACTTTAAACCTTGATATTCTGAATTGGTGATGAATAACAGAGTTCCATAGAGTGGTACTAAATTTTATCAATTTTTTTTCGGCCACAACGGCTGTTATAACATCAGGTATATCATGATACACTGCATGCTTTCGTTTCCATGCCAACTGATGCGTGTTTCCCTTTTTCTTGAACAATCTGAACTTACCTGCATCTTTGTGCATTTAATTAAAGGCGACCAGAAATTGAGTCCAAAAATGTGGTTCAAGTCAAACCTCGATAAAGTGCAGTATATGAATATTTACGACTGCTGAATTTTAAAAACTGTTTCCACCTCATCATGGCATAGTTGGATCAGAGTGATGAACCCCAAAGCTTAAAACAATATGTGAAGCAAAGGCAGATGAAATTTGATTGCTTTCGAATTTTTCGGACTGCAAAATTAAATTTTCCAACTGCCCTCCTTCCTGAAATATCTAGGAACAACACCAAGAACATCAACAACCAAAAAAAGCTGAAAGCTTTTCTGCGTCTCTGATGCAGGAAAACTTTCCAGCTAAAAAGTGCAGGTGTGCCTGTCTTACCCAAACATTACATTGTAATTGATCGAGAGTAAATACCTTGGATTTTCACCATCGTGTGTTCTATTTTTTATTTTATTTTTTTGCAAGCATGAACAAACAATTAAATTGATGCCGACACAATAAACATAACTTTCCTACTACTATATCATACGTAACCATACATGTTGATTTATGTGTGGAATGCAGCATCAGGCTCCGTGATCCAAACAGCATCGTGAATTTAAAAAAAAATAAAAGAGGAAACCATGCAGCATCAGCATACGTAAGCCTTTCATTGGATGACGCAAAAAGCACAAATAAATAATGTTCGTGCACTGAATGAATTGACTTTGATGCGTATTTGCAGACCAAGGGCCATGTCCAGCAGTAGTGGAGTAGAAGGATCTGCTCCCAAGAAAAAGAAGAATCAGTTGTCCGACTCGAGTAGCAGCAGTGGTGGTGGCGGCGGAGGAGGAGGGCCGCCAGCTGGCGGCTCTAGCAGCAGCAGCAGCAACACCAACAACAGCAACAGCAACTCCTGCAATGCCGGCTCTGGCAAGAATAAAAAGAAGAAGAAGCCTTCGAAAAAGAAGAAGAAGCCCAAGAAGCAGCCCAAGAAGAAGAAGAAGAAGAAGAAGGTTCAGAAGAAAAAGAAGCCAAAGAAGAACAAGGCGCCAGAACCCAGTTCTTCGGGTCCTGAGGCTGGAAATTCCAGCTCGAGTTCTTCTGGGCCGCCAGCACCAAAGAAGAAAAAGAACAAGAACAAAAATAAGAAGAAGAAAAACAATAAGAAGCCACCCCCGCCTTCTTCGTCTAGCAGCTCGTAGAGCAAAGTTTTTGTCGGTGTCGTGCAAATTCTTGATGGTTGTTATTATTGTCTGCCACTCGGCATCATACAAACCGATGCTGGTTCATTCAATAAATATCCTTGTTCATCTACGTCAAACTGCTTTTCTTCTTATTTGTATTCCAACAGCGAAAAAAATGAAGAAAAGTATGCGTATATATAGAGTCCAAACAGTTATACTTCAGTGAAGAGTCGGATTTTATGCATACTCGATTAATACATCCGAAGAAATTCTCCCGAAAATGCACCAGCACTCAAATGAATAGTGAACACGAGAAAACAGCAGTTCAGACAGAATGTATGCAAGAATTAAAAAGAAATATTAATTAACCCCTATAGCTGTCCAATCAAGTTGTTATCATCTATATATACCCTTGCTCAGAACCCAATAATCTCAATCAGTCGTATAATTAAAGTTTTAAAAAAGTATGCATTTACCTTCAAGAAAAAATGAAACTTGGATTGGATTCAGGTCAACTCAGAGAATGTTAATAAATTCAAGTGACATCTACTGAAACATATATAATTCTTTTCTGCATGCTGGTTGGACAAACCGGGTGGAAACTTGATCGCATGGTTTAAAATTTTAAATATTTCTCAGATATACCCGGTACACGGAAAATACTCTACAAACAAAATGAATCCCACCCTTTATCCTCGTGTGTGAACCGTATGACGTTCAAGAGGCTCTTCCACTTACATTGCTGCATAACCACGTGCAGTGTATATACATGCAGTATGTAACTTTCGAAATCACAATAATAAAAAACCCAATCATCAGCGATCAAGTGGAAGAAATGCCATCAGCAGCATTCAAACTGATCATCATCATTTTCTTCTCACACTGCACAACGGGATGATGTGACGGATTTTGATGATGCAACAAACAGGAAAAAAAGTGCATGTTTTCCTTGTTATTATTGTTTCCATGGAAAGAAGAATACAAAAAGGTGTTTTTCGGGTGGAACAAACGCACTCGCCGATCTCCCCCTTTATTTCCTTCCTCCTTGCGAAACCGAATAATTTTTCTGATGACCAATCTTGATTGGTGTCGGCCGTGTATAGTTGTCGACATGCAGTCGTCAGCAGCAGCACGGACTTGAGCAAGTACACGTCGTGGGTGACGATGATGACGAAGGAATACTGACGGACAGTGAAAATTGGCTTCCTTCCGGGCGGCTCGGATTTCCCGCCAAATATAGCCACGAAGAATAAAAGCCGGGAATCCCCAGCAAAATCACAGCCAGTTTTCCGCTGAATATTCATCTGCAAGCATCGCTAAAAGCTACTTGAAAAAAGTGTGTATTACAAAAGGAAAAGCAGGTTGTGATCGTGGCTCCTGATGGTTCAACTTCATCTCGCATTTTCTCATCTTTCATTTGACCAGTTCGAAAGAAAGTAGGGTGATGAGAGTCGCTTTGGTAAGTCATGCTCGTTACATGGGTCCGAAATTGTTGGACAATTGAGAATATTTATCATTGCAATAATAACTTGTCTTTTTTGTTTTTGGGTGCTTCAAGATTGTCTTGGTCCTGCTGACAGCAGTTTTCCTGTCAATAAGCTTTGGAGAAGCTGACCAGAAAAACTCGCTGTCATCGTCGCAGGAAAACGGTGCAGATGTCGCTCCTGGAAACTTATTTCTTTATAAGCCACAGCGGGTCAGTCTACAGTGAGTATAATGAAACTCCTGACCATACAAGAGGACTCGGATTACAAAGTCCATGTGCATCTTCTACTTTAAAAAAAAATTATAATCATCAGTATTATCAGAACTAGATCTGTACATCTTTTTTTTCTCCCTAAATATTCCTTCTTCTATATACAAGCCATCAGCAAATTTCTCCAATAAGTCAACTGGCCTGGCCTATCAAGTCCAAACTGACCTTTTAGTGGAAATGAAAATATTTTCCTAAACGGGGATAAGTTAGCATTTCATGCTCGTCATTGAAATGTTTTTGTTTCACTTTTCGGCATCCTGAAGATAAATGTTGTATACCTTTTCTGAATGTGATTTTGTAAGCATGCAGCGTTTGATATTTGAGTAAATGCGGTTCTATGTATATTTTTGAGAGAAAAATTACCGGCAGTTAAGTGCAGTTGCTACACTTGTTGATGAAGTACCATAGTCAGTACAGTACAGTATATAGGTAACTTCATCTCAACACAGGCCGAAATCTTCGAACAGCAGCGACAGTTCCTCATCTTCGTCCAGTGCAGCAGAGAGCAAGAAAAAGCAGAATAAGAAGAAGAAGCCCAAGAAGAAGATTAAGAAGCAGAGGAAGTTCAAGAAGAAAAAGCAGAAGAAGCTGATAAGGAAGAAGAAGAAGAAACCGGAACCCCCGTCTAGTTCCTCCAGCAGCTCCTCCTCCAGCAACTACCCTAAGTTACCCAAGTACCCCAAGTTTTCAAAGCAGAAAAATAAGAAACTGAAAAAGAAGAAACAGAAGAAGAAGAAACTGAAAAAGAAGAAACTGAAAAAGAAGAAACAGAAGAAGAACAAGTCTGGTGCTAAATCTTCTTCCAGTTCTAGCAGTTCGTGATGATACTGCATAACACATAACATACATGCAGTACTATTTAATCTAGAAATAACGACTTTCTGATTAATGTATACTCCTGCTGGTTCAAAACCAGCAAAAAGGTGCTTTTCTTTGTTGTCAACATCATTGAGAAATCAGTGATACTGTAATTCTCAAATGACCAACACTTGGTCCAAGTGATGTCCAGCAGCAGTAACGACCGTCACATCAGTATTTGTTTCCTGTATTTCTTTCCACGTGAACCAAAAGACACCAATCTTCCCCAATAAAAAGGAAGTCAAATTTTGCTTCACGGAATTCAGCCATTTCCCTGGACAATGGTTTCAAAATATTCTTTTAAACTCCAAATGCGATCGTGTTTGTGAATAATGAAAAAAAAACATGTTCCCGCTGTTGATTTTTTTTTCGACATGTTTCAATGTTAACGGAAAATAGACGGTGCTGTATTTCGCAAATAGTCCTTTCCAAAATATATTGTCGTTTTATTCATCAACACGCCCATTATTCCCCGAAATTGTTGACCCGGGTCGACGGCTGATGACAAGCGTGGGAATAAAACAGTGATTTCGACATAATCACCAAAAAAATCAATGATCAATCAATAAGTAATGGTCACATTCGTTCTCCCTGCTGGATGGCAGAGTGGATCCAAGTGCCCAGTCCAGGCAGCTACAGTTCCAACAGCAGCCACCAGGACTGACCCAACCTGGTGGATCATTTTGCCCCAGTAATAGTAGGTGTCACCGTCACGACTGGGGACAACACCTGCAAGGTACTTTGAGTAATTGAGCCAGGGCTTTACACCAAACGCAACCATAGATGTCACTACTGCAGACTGCCGCATGAGCCCCGCCACTGGACCCGCCAATAATCTGTAGCCTGCCATTGAAGTTGGTTGAGACTCGCAAAACATGACCCCGAACTTTGACTCAGCGTGGAATTCCTCCAAGTCCATCTTGCCCTGCAAAATAATCCATTATTCCTTCTAGGTTATGATCCACCGCGAATGAAGATACAGTAATCAAATGTATGCCCCGAGATACGGACACGAGTGGTGCTTTGCCCATCTGTCCAAGTCGGAGCGTCCAAATGTCGGATCAAGTTTCGCCATAGACTTCAACAGGGACCACATTTAGTTGGGTTTTCTTCATTAAAACATGAATAAAGTCCTAAAAATTGAATAAAAATTTGTCTCAACTTCAAGAGGAAGAAATAAACTGTGCAGTAGAAAAAACATGGAATCGGATTTTTTGGCATCAAAAAGATTTCAAAAAGCAAAAAACAAGAACTTTTACTGTGCATACATGTTGGATTAAAACTAAAATTCGAAGAGAGAAAATCACAATCTTGCTTATAGATTAGAATTCGATTCATTTCTAATGATCTTTTTTATATTTCGGCTTATAAAAAGATCAAGTTAGAGATATCAAAAGTTAGAAACATTAAATTTCTGAATGTGTATAGAGAAGAGTGTCCATATCTCGAGGCAATATCTGAATTTTTGGGCAGCATTTCTTTTTTTCTGGTGACCCCAAGTAGATTTGTCCGTATTCCGGTGTCCCACTGCACCAATTTTTATTTACAGTAATATTTTGCCCCGAGTGGAAATTCGATGAGCGACATCTGCCCGCGTTAAAGCTTACCTGTCGGAAGAGCTCCGTGCACACCACCGAGAAGGTGGAGTGGTGCTTTTTGAGAAACTCTCCGGCGGCTGCGCCACAAAAGGACCCGATGCCAGCTGCACACGCCGGCGTGCAAGAGATGGTGTCCAACTGGTTGGCTGCCCGGAATGCCAGGCAGGCCGTGCATCCTTCCACACGACCCACGCAACCCATGATGCTCGGCACGCCGGACATGATGACAGAGGTCAAGTAGCCCGGTTTGAAACCACCCAGTACGGAGTAGAACGAGTCCAGACCCCGTTTCTCGCGATGTCCTCGTCCAGATGTCGCACGACTCGCGTAGTGCAGTTTGTGTGCGCAGTCGCGTCGAGATCCCGGACACGTGGCTTCCAACAGCATTTGCATCTCGACAGCAGCGCCATCTATATTCTGCTGTTTCGCGATATGATGAGGACGACAAGATACCTGCAGGGTGTAACCTGCAGCTGTGGGCACGATCAGAGTCTCTGGGAACGTGTGCAAAGAATACGTGGCCCGAGATGACCGGAAGTTGAAGGGGTCTTCCGTAGTGAAGGTGAAGCGGAGGTTTTCAGCGGGACATCTGCTCATCAGCAATTCTTCGTAGCCGTCGTTGGTGTGCTTTTGACCTGCGAGATGTCTTACGAGTGACTCCCGCTCGAAAGAGTGACAGTCTCCGAGCGGATTTTCGAGGACCCTGAAGATTTCCCGGGTATTGGGACTCACTCGGAATACTCCGTCTGTGAGCCAAGGCGAATCCTTGAGCACCACCATCAACCCAGCTGCTGCTTCTGCGTAATCCTGAGGCAGTCTCGACACAGTGACAATGTCCACTGCTGTCCCGTTCCCCGCGTGGATGAGGAGGTCGGAAACAGTACTACTACCAGTTGCTGCTGCTGCTGCTGCTGCAATAAGAACAGCGTCGTGGACTAGACCAGCAGACACGCCACACGAGGGAGACGTGATGTCTGCAAGAGTCCGGTAGAGGGCGCGTCGCGAGGCCTGGAACCCAGCATCAGCAGCAGCAGTAGGAAAAGGAAACTGCGTGTGGATGCGGACAGGATACGACCAGATGTCGCTGCTCTGCTGAACACCGTCGTCCTCGGCACTAATTGTTATTCTTTCTTCATCATCATCATCGTCATCATCGTCGTACGTCGTTTTGCCAGCAGCATCAACTACTAATAAGTCCATTCCGCCGTCCAACCCTGCTGCTGTTGAGAGTCGTAGAGATGCGTCATCCAAGAACAACTCGGTGACCTTTCCGGGAGGCAATCGGCCGATAAGAGACGACATCTGTCCAAGTCCCTCGTTACTATTGTGTTTGATCCATAAGATCCCGATTTTGCCTGGTAGACCGGAGATGGTTTGGACAATAAGGTGCTCGTGCTGCTGCTGCTGTTGCTCAGCAGTGTCATTAATTTTGTTGTCTTCGTTGTCCTGGTTGTCATTTTTCTTGAGCACCAAGGGTGACTCTGTGTGTATTTCTCGAAGCAGCGGCGCGTAGAGTTTCTCCCAAACATGAGCAGATGTCGGGTCCAGCACCGGGACGAGAGTGTCGAACGCGCCGTGTTCGTGATACTGTCGCATTTTCTGTGCTGCCACTGCAACCAGGGATTCCCGGTCCCCGGCCAAAGACACGATTGACTGGTTTCCTCTGTCAAGCACTGATCGCAGCAAAGGGAACGGGGAAATGAATTTGACATCCGGGTATTTGGTGACGAGATTCACCACCGTCAGCAATGAATCTTGATGGCCGCTAAAATGCCCCACGAATACCCTAACCCCTGATTTGTACAGTCTTGCAAGTTCTGCGAATGTTGTCTCGTTGTCATCGAGGCCAGAATCAGCAGTCAGATCGTTGCCTCTTTCCGATTGTTTCTTTTTTATTTTATTTCTGCGCTGAGGAAACACGAGGCGGGTTCGTCCTGATGGTGCTTCAAGTACAGCCACTTTCGCAGCTGCATTCCAACAAGCGTGGTCCGTGGGCAGAAGCCATCCGATCCTGTCATGGTCTACCATCATAGGAAAATGCATCACGTTTTTCCCTTCATTCCAATTTGTGTGTGTTTTTTTTTCCTTTTTGTGAATATTCTCAGAAGTACGTTTATAGACTATTGACATGCAAATTGCATTCCCGGAGTTTCAGGATTACTTCTCCGAATCAACGAACGAACTTCACCGGCGCACAAATGATATTATTCTCTTAGCGTGTTGGTTATTTTGCACGGCAGTAAGTCGCTTATCACGCATGTCGAATTTCTGATTCGCACGGCAGCAAGTGTTACACGTTGGAAAACCAGAGAGAAACCCCGAATACAGCTTCACTGCATTGCTTCCACGAAACGGCAAAAAAATAATTTCATGTTCACGACGAAAGGAAGTAGAGAAATTCAACAGTAAATGTCAGTCTGAAGACTCCATTTGAAACCCTTTAAATTTGTGCTGCACAGTATTTCATTTTAAAAGTGAGAAAAGAAAAGTTGGTGCACGACGTGAATGATGAATGCATGCGTATAGACTCACGTTTTCCGGATAAATTCGAAGTTGTTTCGCCGATCTTGCAGACGAGAATAACCAGCACCATGAGTGATGGCACCAAAAGGACCACTTTCCCGACCAACATTTCTGGTTCTTTATTTCTCGGTAAATTTTATTCCTGATGGACACTCGCCTGGAAGGATGAATTATTGGATGGACGAGGAGAACAGCAGTGACTGGTTCTTTTGACTCGATCGGCGGTTGTCCGTTGACAAGTATAGGCTCATCTTCTAATATATAATGCATTCGATGACCGTTTAACATCACGTTGTGTGCTGGTGTGAAGTCAAGTGAACTGACGTGAATAATTCATCAACCGACGCTCATGTAGAAGCGGAGTCCCTGTTACTGTATATGCATTATTGAGCACTGTTTTTTTTCTTTCTTTTCCTTCCTTTTCTTTGTCATTCTTCAAGTGCAGATGAACCGTTGAGAAATTTCAATGATGCGATTGTTCTTTGCTGGTCTCCTTAAAAAAAAAGAAATAAAATAAATGCAGTCCATCGCTTAAGGAATCAGCCTTGCTTCCTAACTCCCAGAGAATAGTTTTCAAGTTGGCTTATTTACACTCTGCAATAAGCAGAGGTTTGTACCTGAAAATGTGCTCTCAACAATTTGGAAAAGAAAACGTTTGGTTGTAGTGGACTAAGCGGCGTAATTTCACCAGCAGGACGAAATTTTTTTTTTAATCTTCTGAGACAATCAATTAATGGGCGAGTTCACCTTTCGTTTTGCGCCTGGCAATTTCACGCGCAGGAATTTCGATGGTTGCGGATTTATTTTTTAGTCCAGCCATTTTTCGACGAAAAAGCAAAAGAA